AGTTGGGATCAAGATAAAAATATTTAATATTTCTATCTCCATATTTAGGAACTTCTCTATTCCCTTTTATCAAGTTTTTTTCTAATCAAATTTTATTTTGATTTTGTACACACACACACACACACACACACACACACACACACACACACACACACACACACACACACACACACACAGATCAATCCTCTCCCCCAGCACAACCTGAATGCTTTCAAAAAGTGTTTTCCTGTTGTTGTCAAGAAAAAAAAATTTGTTTTGGTTTTGTGTTACACTGTTGGAGGTTCTGTTTATACTTTAGGACTTTGTGTGTGTGTGTGTGTATATATATATATATATATATATATATATATATATATATATATATATATATATATATCTCTATATATCTTTTCACTTTTGACAGATTGCAAATTGATTACTTAATCTCAAAAATGAAAATATTACCAGAGACACCTGATCTGTCATATCAAATCTCTAATGTTGTGACAAGTTGATGCAGGTTTCAAATCAAACTGGTCATCTGAGTGCATTTGTCTCAACACCAGAATTCAGAGACCATACACACATTTTTTTCAGTTAGAGAATGTCTGTTTGATTAACATTTTATTAAAAAGTGGAATTGCTTAATTAAGAGGTAATATTTTTAAAATGCACAAAATCACACACTATAGAATATGAAAATAAATGTTAAAATCTTTTGATTATTTTCCTACAATTTATTAATAAACAAGTGAATTTTTTTTTTTACTCTGTGCAAACCATCTTCAGAATAAATGGTGTTATGTATAACACTTTTTATGGTGTCCTGTTGTGACATAGCAATGGCCATTTCAGAAAATAGAATTTTGGTGAACAAAATTTGAATTTCATTCAGGAGTACTTTGTGCTCATGTTCTTGTGAAAGACACAAATCCACTTCCTCCTCCCAGCCAGGAGAAACTGGTGGGGTTGTTAAGTCCTTTTGGCCTGTAAGCAATCTATCTGTACAAAGGGTGTGAAGGGTATACTGACAGGAAAAATGCTTACAAATTAGCAATTGCTATAATAGCTGGTCTCAAGCTGAGTTGAGAAATGGATAACTTTAAATGTTGGGTCAGCACCCTGGGCTGCTTAAAAACTGTTGATTGCTAAAAAAAATAATGAATAAGTCACCAATGAAAAATATCCCATATTTTTAAAAATTGAGAAAAAACATTGCCCAAAAGCCTTGTTGAATGTGAAGATTGATTATATAGTATTATCCATTTGAAAGATTGTATTAATCTTCCTGTTTCAGTTGGCTTTTTGCCATTCTAAGCAAAGCTTAGTATATATCAATATAAGAAGCCTGCTTGAGTTAGTTTTTGGCATAAATGAATGGTACATGAGTACTGGAATGATAAAAGAAATATCAAAAGCTGATTTGCAAGGCAAGCAGTCAAATCTTCCCCTTTCACTCAAGGCATGCAGTCAAACTTCTTCTCAAAATATTGGTGCAAGACAATCTTCTTACCTTCATTATATGATCCTCTGCCAGATTAAGCTAACGTTAAGCTAATGTCATTAATCAGTATTTATATTCTCTCAAATTCAGCTGAAGTAGCAAGTTTTGTTATATATTTTTGTTTTTACTCTCTTTTAAGCAGAAACTGCAGTATTGAAGATACTGCAGTTTTTTTATTATTAAATGAAGAATTGTTTATTATTTTAAATATTTCTTTATTTCTTAATTTCAGTTGCCTCTTATCAGAACTTTTCACACCAGTTCTCACACATCCGTCAATAGCACTGACCAGAAATAAAACAGGATTTGAACTTTATGCCTTTTTCTTTGAGAAGTTTATCTTAGAAATGTTAACTTCAGTTGCTTTTAGTTACAGTTATTATTAAAAACTGCTACTTGAAAAATAATGATAGTTGACAATACTTTATCTAATAATAAATTTAATAATGTTATTAGTGTATATGAATATTTAGGTTGGCAATAAATCTAGTGTTGAAGGGGAAAGTAAAGAATGAAAGCTCTGTGATTAAATTTAAGATTCTGCAACCAGTTATCTACGTTTGAGGAGCTGCATTCGCTGGTTTCCAGACTTCATGAGTTCAAGCACCCTACGAGGCTGGCATCCCGCTCTTACCCTTTCACTGTCAAAACTCCTGAATTTAGCCGTCTCTTCTACTCCAATAGCTTCATGTCTTGCACCTCTCGCCTGTGGAACTCCCTTCTCTATTCCAGTTTCCCTGAGAGCTATAATCTCCAACTATTCAAATGTAATGTCAATCGATATCTCCAGTTGTCTTGATGTATCCACTATCCTTCTCCTCATCCTTTCCTATATCACTCCTATCTGATCTTGCTCCAAATCTTCTGTAACCCCTTGCGTCCTAGTGGCTTCTCGCCTTGCTTGGGGTGAAACGCTTAAAAAAAATAAATAAATAAATAAATAAAAAATTGGCAAGGTCAGGTGAAATCTATGAAATAATGAAAATACTTCATCTTATTTCAGACATTGCGGGAAAGCTAAAAACTATTATATTTTCTTTAAAACCACACAAATAAATATAACAGGTTGAAAAATAAATTGAATAATGAAAAGATTTTTTTTTTATAACTTAGAAAACAGAAAAGCAATTCAGTAAATCATCTCTGTTTTTGGATTCATCAAAATATATTTTCCTCATTTCTACAAATTTTCTCTGTAAATGTTTTGTCCTTTTTCCTTTTAAAAGTAAACTCAGATTAGATAAGTGTTGTTTACAATGCAATTAGATGTCAATGGTTACAGTTATCTGGATTTCTTCCATGTCAAATAAATCCATTTTTGCCCTTAAACAGTAGATGGCCATCTGTTACCAACTAAATAAATATTGTTTTTTTTATTGGATCTGCAAAAAGATAAGCTACAAACAAATCTTTCTTTTATGCAACAACAAAAGTAGCAGTAGTAGTAGTAGTAATAAATAATAATAATAATAATCATCTTCTATCATATCAAATAAAATGTGTAATAATTATCAAAATTCTTTTGACTTTGGTTTCATCACCACTTTTCACATTTTTAAGTACATGATATACATGATAGAAATACAAAGAAATTATTTATAAAAACATTTCCATCATTTTCCCCAAACTTCTGATACACTGTCATTTTTGTTTGTATACTTTTTAGACTAATTGTATTGTTATTCACAATAGTATATGAATTTATTACTTAAGAGAATGATGATTGGGCGGGGGGTTGTAATAAAAAATCAACAGAAATAAAACAAAAGAAATGCTAGTCAAAAACTAATAATTGAAAATGCTTCATCTCAAAAAGGCAGATAATTTAGAACAATTAATAGTGGCTTGGAAAAGGTATGAACTCATCTCTTTTCTGAGCTATGGTTTAAATAGTACGGCAGACTGGACTTTTCAGCCTTGGTTGGCAATCAGTTTAGGAGAAGAAAAAATCCTGAATCTATAAATCCAGGTAGATAAAATTTGTTAATATTTGAACACTTGATGGTCTGAAAGAAGGTAAACCCTAACAGAAAACCAACCCTTTCCCCAGAATACAGAGATTGATTTAATATGAGACCTATTACTCCACCCATGGAACAGTTAAATTACAGAAACCTCACACAGAAGAAGCCTTATGTACCATGGGGGTTCTTGAAGATATATGTATAACAAAATAAGTTGGCGATAGCCACTTATAAAGACAGTGCATTGAATGAGAGAACAGAAATAATGTCTAAGTGTTGACATGTTAGCAAGAATATTCTCAGTCTGTTCAATCCCAGATAAAGGAAAATAATAATTTTTTTCTTTTTCACTCACACCTCCCTCCTTTTCTTGACTTCCAGTGCCATAGCATGTTAATAGTAGTCTAGTGTGGTATGGTGTGGTTTGAGGAACACTTGTTGCCCAGACACCTGATGAAACCTAGCAGTTGAAACCATGGTAGTGTGCATTAGCATACAGTGTTTTACCTCTTTTTATTGTGTATATATATATATATATATATATATATATATATATATATAGTAGTTATATTTTACTGTTTTGCAATGAGTTAAAGTTTCATGTATGAGCATGTTTTGGGGGGATGATGAATTGCACAATATTCAGGCAGGTGAAAAGGTCAAAAAACTCAATTCTGAATTTGGGGACTCATAGTCTACTTTGTGGGACAGGGGTGGTAGCAGGAGGGAGTCTTATATCTGTTATTATATGAGGATGCTGAAATGTTCTTTGCCTGACCAAGAAGAGATTAAAATAAAATTTAGATATTTGTTTATTTGGTTATATTTTGGGAAATGGGCTAAGCTGAAAATTTTCAGCAAAATCAAGTGAAATAGGATGAAAGAAACACTGATATAATTATATTATACATTATCATTATAATTGATAATGTCTCATCTAAGAAATCCAGATATTACCACTTCTATTTTTGCTTATACCTACAGTGTACTTTTTTCTCTTATACATTGTAAGAATATATGCTTAGGTAATATTTAAAAAAAATATCTGTATGTATATGATAATGTATTGGTTTGGTTGTTTTGTTGTACGGCATATCAACCTCAATGGGTTATTTAATACCGACAAGATTTTTATTGTTAGTATATATATATATTTTTTTAAATATATTACTAGTAATTTTCTTTTTAATGTATAGCTGGATTTTTTTTTTTTTCAAAAATGTATTGCTGGTAATAATTTTTTTACAAAGTATTTCTGGTATTAAAACCTATTTTTACACTTTCATAGTGTTTTAACCCCAGTCTGGGGGTTAGCTATTTACCCCTGGGCCCCCTAACAGGTGCTATGACCCTGGGCCAGGATGGACCTGAGAACACCAGCAATTAAGAGGTAGTTCCACACTCCTCAAAACCTTCTGATCAGAGCCCTTGCAGCTGGACGTAGTTTATTGTCTTACCCAGGACAGAATAATGTCTTGCTAAGATATGTTCTGCCTACAAATTATACTGACCTGTTGTTTTCTTTTTCTTTCTTTTGCAGATTGATTAGCACAATGTCTTTATCTAAGTGGCCCCACAACCGGTCACAGTGGCTGGCCTTTTTACTTTTGATTCTCACTGTCTTCACCCGAGGGCCGTGTGCTGCACAATATACAGAGGAAGTGGATGATCCCAACTCGTGGACCTTCAAAGTGCCTGGAAAATCTTCCATTTCTTTCCTTCCTGGATATTCTAGCAAACAACATCAACGACTTGGCTTAGTTTTCCGAACCCACCAATCGGACGCTTTGCTTCTCTATCACAAAATAGAGGATTACAATCGGACAAATTTTCCTGAAATCCAATATTATGAATTAAAAGCAGAATTGATACAAGGAGTGGTGCGTGTGCGTTACAGATTGAACCAATTTTTGGATGATTTTACCATTGGGCAAAGTGAGTATGTTTTTGCATTTGACTTCATAAAATGCTTGCCATTTATTGAAAAAAACTGTTGTTATTCTTGAAAATATATTTTGAAATTCTTTTTTCTCAGTGATATTTACTGTAGTAAATGTGGCTTAAGCACAACACAGAATAGTGTTATGAACTAAGAACAATGTTACAAGTGGTCAGATGAAGGCAGAGCACATAATCTGGTCATATGGTTAAAGTTTAAATGAAGTTTATATGACTTTAACCTTGAAAATATAAAAAGCAACCAGCTAATAATGGTGTTTAGTGGAAGTAATTTATGATATAAAATGTAATAGGCTTCTCTTAAATTGACTTTCCTTTCTCTGTAATTGGTACTGGTCAGCTAGAATGGCTACCTTATTTGACTAAATGAGCTGTATCCCTATTTTGAGTTCTCAGTCTGTTTCTAACCAAAATCCTAATTAAAGCAAGAACTCTCAACTACAGAAGTTATATTTTGACATTTCTATTATGAAGTTGATACTAGTAGATTATAAAACTTGTTTATTACAGTTACTGAAAGGACAAAGTTTTATCTTTAGTGTCCTGTTTATTAGGTAAAATTTATTATGATAAAATACTGACAGAAATTTCTATCTGTATGTCTTTTGAGTCTGACACTAAAATTTTATAGATATTGATAATATAAATATATATGGGGGGTAGGGCTGAAACTTTCTTGGTCTGATCCACTTTCCAAAATCAGTATTTTGATGTTAGTTTAATCATTTAAATACTGATTTTTAGGAAGTGAATCATATTGAGAACTTTTCACCACCCCCTCACATAGACACACATACACAATTAACAGATTGCACTTAAGTGGAACAATTTTGTATTCTTATAAATGATCATTCTTTTTAAATTTTAAAGTTACTCCTCTTAAATTGTAACCAAGGTTCCATTTGACTTGCATTATATATAAGGGTGCATGAATTTTGATCTGAAATTATTGCTGTATAATGTTTTAACTATTTCATTAAATCTCCACTGAATTAAATGCATTAACAAAGATGATTATAATGAAAAAATACTTGTGTAATTTTTTTTTTTATCATTAGCTTAAAGACTCGTTGGTACAGTTATAGATGCACACACATATATAGCGAGCGTGTCTGCGTCCGTGTATAGCAAGCGTGTCTGCATCCATGTATAGCGAGTGTGTCTGTATCCATATGCATAATGGGATGCAAAAATCTCTATTTCCATAAAAATGCAAAAATGATATTAAATGGTTGATTAATGTACAAAGAACATGCAGAATGTTTAATAGTGACAACCATGGTTCAAAGAGTAAAGGAAAAAAATAGTAAATTAAGGAAATCTTGTCAGTTTATTAAATGTTCTAAAAAGAAGAGACTGCTTCTATTAACAACAACAAAAGAAAAAAGGCGGATTTTCTCTTTTCATTCTGTTTATTTTTCCTTATTGGTTGGTTTTTATCAGATGAATTTCCTCAGTAGTTTCATTTTCCCATCATCAATTGATTGATTTCTCTTTGTAAATTGTTGTTTACTAATTTGCTTGATAAAGCAAGAATCATTTTTTTATAAAAAAGAATGTTTTGATTTTTTTTTTTTCCTTGTCAAAATTGATAAAAAAAATTAACTTTAATGTTGAGTTGATGATGACAATATTTCTTAGAAGCTTCATTTTGTTTTTGATCAATAGTAATTGTATTGATAGAATTTATTACAATTTATGTTGTTTATAAGCTCAAAATCAAAACAATGGCTGAATGGATTTGTCTGAGATTTTCAGTTGCATTACTGGGAATATTTAAATTTTTTTCTTTTGACTCTCTTATTTTTTTGTCAAAGGAGCAAATCTAATCAATAAATTTAGGACTTGTTACATCAAAATGAACCAGCAAAAAGCATCAAGACAATAAATAACCTCTAAACCTGATTATAAGCAAACCCATGACAAGATTATGTAGGGCCGGATTATCTTTTAGGTCTATATAGTGTTGTGGCCTTGTTAGGGCCAGAAATAAAGACACAAGAGAGGAATTGAGTTAAACGAATATATTTACAGAAACAGTAATACAAACATATACAAACGAGAGTGTTACAGCAAGAATGTTTGGTCTGATTGTACAGAGCTGACAGCTGGAAACTTCCCTCTGCAAAATGGCAGTACCTGCTCCTATTTATAGCTGGGAGAGTCCATGCATGCATGGTTAAATTACCATAACATGTAGGTAGCAGCCTAATTCATCAAGTTTTATAAAGCAATAGATTTTAATTTTCTAGATCATATAACTTCTTCATAGTTTCATAAGTCAGTTATATGCTGTCGTGATACATGCTTAGGCGATCATGTATCTCTTGATATATGACTGACAAGGCAGTTTTTTTTTCCACAGCAGGTTGCTATTTCTTTCTGCAGTAGACCAGTTGCCATCCAAGACTATAGAACCCAGTCTGTCCTGCTATGTACCCATAGCTGGGGAGGAGAAGAGGATTCATACTTTTCCCAAGGGTATTTGTGCGTAAGTGAATGTAATGGATTTAACTGGGATTTGAACTTGGCTCTCTGGTTCCTCAATCCGAGCTGCTATCCATTACTCCACCGTGCCTCCTAGTTTCATATACTGAAATGATATCAATATGACATATTTAGTAAAGCGAGGAAAAAATGTTTTATTTTGTGTCATTGTGTTTCAAGTAGATAACCTGTTTGATTTTAGTTCGGGAGAGTTAAGGTTTATGGCCACATCATGTTAAAACACAGGTTCCCGTACAATCACTGAAGTTAAGCAACATCGAGCCTGGTCAGTATCTAGGTGGGTGACATCTTGGAAATACCAGATGCTGTAATTTTAGATGTAATGGATAATGGCTCGGAATTGTTAATTGGAGAGCTGAGTTTCAATTCAAGGTTGGTTATTCACTTACACACAAATACCTTTAGGAAAGGTATAAATCCACCTTCTTCCTCCAGCTATGGATTAATTAGTAAGACTTGTATCACTAAAACCATTATCATCTCAAAAAAATAAATAAATAAAATCGTATATAAAATATTTAGATTTCTGTATTAAAAATGCCATGGAAGTTGATATGCCACTAAAAAAGCCATGGAAGTTGATATGCCACTAAAAAAGCCATGGAAGTTGATATGCCACTAAAAAAGCCATGGAGGTTGATATGCCACTAAAACAAACCCAACCAACTAATCAGAATATTTAGAAATTTTTATTAAGCAGTGATTTTAATATTGTAAAAATAATTTCTCAATAATTTCATAAACTGAAACAATATCAGAATAACAAATTCAATTGTTTTGATTGTTTAATGTTATAATACTGATTATCAATTTTTTTTTTTAACTATAGTTGTGTTGAAATATGTGATAATTTGGTTGTAATAAATAGTAAAATAGTGGTATTTCTTTTATTGACAAACAAAATACAGCTATTCTAGTTTATATAAAGAATTTGCAATAAGTTTATTATTATAAACTATGTAAATGTTGTTAAAATATATCACAAGTAAAAAAAAATATTCAAGACAAATGTGGGGTGAGTTAGAGGGTAGCTCCATTTGTGGGGAGCTCCCATAATTTCATTAACCTAGGAACCCTAAAAGATCATAATCTGGCCTTGAGACTGCAAAGCTGGAGAATAGGATGGTCAAAATATTATTAGAACAAAATCAGCAAAGATAGAGGTAGTTTAATATTATCAACATTGACTATTGCTAAAGAATTAGCAGCCAGCAAGAATCAAGGTAAATGGTTAGTAGATATCTGTAACACATTGTAATATTTAAAAAAAAAAAAAGTAACCAATTCTAAATATTAGGATCTTTAAAGTCAGCTATCAATAGTGATTTTATGAATACCAAATACTACTGAACATTCAATAACCTTTTCTGTTTTTAACCCTAGAACACTAACCATGGGTAGTTTCCTATTTTTAATTACAATTTTCAGTACCTGATTTTCTTACCTAAATAATGTTTTTCAGTTCCTATTAATGTTAACTCAAAGTACAAAGTTTGAAGTGCCTGCATATAAAATATTTCAAATAAAGATTTATATTTAATATTTTTTTTGATATTTTCAAAATCGGGTATGATATACCCATGGTTAGTAGTGGTGTAACTTTAATTGATGGTTAGTGTTCTAGGGTTAAAAGAGTGATACACTATTAATCGGCTAACATTCTGCATACTATTCTATTTTTTTCTTTTTAATTGGTATTATTCCAAGCAAAGCAGTAATGCCACTAAAACACAAGCGTTTACAGGGTGTGGAAGAATTAGGAATAGACACAATAATGGTGAGCAGAAAGAGAAGAGTGTAATCAGGAGGACATTAGATAGCAATTGACATTGCATTTAAATTTTTGCAGATTAAACATGGCCGAAAAGCAAGGAGCCAGAAGGGAGTTCCACAAGTTAGATGTGCAAGAAAAGAAACTGTTAGCATAGAATTTGCAGTTACATCTAGCCATCTCAACTGTAAATTAATGAGTTTAGTACTGTGCTTAAATTCAAAAAGTCTAGGTACCATAGTGAAAAGCACATCAGAAAAATTAGCATGAAAGTATTTATAGAAAAGGCACAGAGAGGCAACCTTATAGTGATCAGAAAGTGACTGAAGCCGAGCTGCCAGATCAGGACCAATAACATTCTCGATTCTTTAGATTTTATCAAGGAGCTCAAGGTAAATAGCAGGGGTACTAGACCATATATAGCAGCAATATTCTAAGCATGGACAATGGTAGACTTATAGATATGTAAGATAGATTCTGGAGAGAAAAACGGTCTCATATGACACAATGAACCTGTACAAAAAATATAAGGTAGGTTTTGTTAATAATAATGGTATTAAAACATATGGAACAGTCTTAAAATTTCTTGTGTAAAAAGATTGGAAAAATAGAAAATCCTGAGGATTTAAATCATTCCATCAATATTGTTAAACTTACTACAATATAGTACAGAAGGCTGAAGTTTTAATTCTAAGTCATCAGATACTGTTTTTCTCTCTGTGCCATGTCTCTTCAGAACATAAACGGTCACAGTTCTCCACAGCTTCCTGTGTTTTGTGGCTCTCATCTATACTTTCAACTTTACAACTCCTCTTTGTGGTCCTTGTTCTTTTATCCATTTGCACAAACTTTTCAAATGTTCTCTCTGTATCATATCTCTTCTGAATGTGAGCAGTCATGTTTCTCCACAGCTTCCTGTCTTTTGTTGCTCTCAGCAATACTTGCTCCTTTATGACCCTCCTTTTTCTTAGTACTTGTTCTTCCAGCAATTTGTTCAAACTTGTCAAATAATTTTTATCTTTTTTTCAATGTCCTATGTCCTTTCAACAGATGGATCATCATGGTTCTCTACAGCTCTTAGAAATACTTACTCCATTATAATCCTTATTTATGATTATGGTACTTGTTTCCTGAAACTTGTCAAGTTGGTTACTTGCTACTTTCCTCTGCTTTTCTTGACCTTTTTGATGTATTCTGGAAAGGTTAAATCCTCCAAATCTTCATTATATGTCCCCAAATGTTTCATTCTCTCTTTCTGATTATTAGCAAAAGTCTCCTACTCTCCTTAGATTTTCCTTGTTCATTTTGTTTTCTGTCGATGGTATTCTCAACATTTGTTGGTAGAACCCTGTCTCGGTTGTGTCAAGCTTTTCATCTATGAAAAAATTGTCCAGCTACATTATAGAAAGGTAGGCCTTAAATCTTTAAATAGCAACCTTATTCTTAAATTTTAGTATATATTTTTGATCCCTTGGTACTTTTACTCACTTTCTGAAAAGTATCTTTTACATTCTATTTTAGCATCCCAATACCACTTTCTTATCAATGCTGAATTTTGTGCAAATCTGTGCAAAAGTGGATCAAAGAGCTTACTCAGCTTCATACATATTTTCAGGAAATCTCAACTTCTAATTGGTCAATAAACACACAATTGGGCATTGCAATCCACCCACGTACAAGTCTTTTTCCAGTGTGTGACCAAGACAAGTTTTCCTGCTTCTTTTCCAGGAGCCTGTCACATGATTACGTTAATTATAAATATCAGACACAAATTTGTTCTTTTCTCTTTTCTTTCTTGATTTCATTCGCCTATGAAAATGTAACCTTAAAGGAAACTGCATAGTGACCCCATTACGGCAGAATACTGAAGACATGCACACATGCACATATGTACGAAATTTTCCAAACTACATTACAAACATACAAAACATTTCCAAACCAGCAACAAGAACTTTTCTCTTTAAAAATACTCTGATCAATCTTTCGCACACATCTTTAGAAAACAAAATTGTAATATTCTGCATATAAAAAATATTATTGTCCTAATCTTTGTCGCCATATTTATTACAACATTTTGGCCCTTCAGTATTTGTCTATATTTCTGAGATAAGGTATTATGTACACTATTTACATTATTCGGACTACTGTCCTCATCTTTGTTGCCATATTTATTACAACGTTTCAGCCGTTCAGTATCTGCCTATATTTCTGAGATGAGGTATTATGTATACTATTTACATTATTCGGACTATTGTCCGCATCTTTGTTGCAATATTTATCACAATATTTTGGTTGTTGTACGCTCTGGTCGTTGTAGGCTCTGGCCTTCTTCTGTTGGTTGGAATGTCAAACTGAACCCTTTATTTTATGCACTGGGGTAGACTGTTCTAATTCCACATACCATGTCTAATGGATGTCAGTTATCTCCTGTTAATTCCCCTATCCAAGTTCTCCACTGCCTTAACCAGGTGTTGAACTCGCAACTCTTTGATTCCTGTCATTGGATCTAACCAATGCCTTTACATGGCACAGTGGATAAAGGTGTTGGTTAGATCCAGTGACTGGACCCAAAGAGTTACAAGTTCAATACCTGGTTAAGGCATTGGAGAACTTGGAGAGGTGAATTAACAGGAGATAACTGATATCCATTAGACATGGTACGTGGAATTAGAACAGTCTACCCCAGCGAGTGAAATTATTAAAGGAGATATTTCATATATTTCAGGAGAAATCAGGCTGCTAATACAATGTTTTTTTTTTTTTTTCTCTAGTTGTTTCAAAAGCAATATTCTTTCTTACATGCAATAATAGAATTAATTCTCGACCATTTATTCTTGAGCATAGTGTGAATTTTATGATCAGTTTTTTTTCATACAACAAATAGTAAGTCGCAGTATATACAGTTTTTTTTTTTGTTTTTTTTTTTTTGAAGAGGTAAAAAAATCCTGCATTTTTGGTGACCTATTGCACAGGTAAATGTTTTCTGGAGAGGTTAAAATTCATGCAAAAAATTCAGGAGTTGCACTATACATGAAGTAAGCTTATACATGGAGTAGTTAAAATGCTAGATTTCTCATGCAAAAACTATAACCAATATAATTACAAAATTACTTAAATATTACCAACATTTTTTTGACAGTATGGTAGACAAGCTTATCAATATTTATGAACCTCCATATTTAATTTGAGGCTAGCAAGATGGTGACTCTAACCTTTCTGTTTCTGCTAAACTCAGCTTTCTCTCGGAATATTTTGACATTAAGATTTTTAAGAATCTGTGTTGCACAATAAACAAACAAGCAACATTTTTAGAGAGTGCCATTTGACAATTGGGACAAATGCTTTTTATTTTATTTAGGTTATGAATTTCTTTTAATGCTAAATTGCATCAAATTAGTTTTTAAACTAATTCAAATTGAAATTCTTCGAAAATCAGAAAATCAACCATGTACACTCACATTTAGAGATACAGTTTTCTCTTCAATAAAATTAAAAATGATTTCTTGCCAAAGCATCCGAACAAATTAGGATATAAAATGG